CAGATTCTAATATTCTGCAGGTTGGGGGCGTTACCCTCGGCAACATGTACTATAACAACCCCATCCTCAACGTCTTGGGTGAAAGTTTCGACGTAGCCCAGGAGAAGGCAGTACAAATTCCTACCTTAATGCAGGCTGGCTATGCCGCTGGGCTCTTATTTCTGTGCCCTGTAGCGGATATTATACGACTAAGACCCTTCGTTCTGCTACTTGTCTTCACCACCACAAACACAGTAAGTGCATTAATCCCCAGGCAGTAAGGGTCTCTAATGAACGTCCCTAACTCTTCAAAGTGGCTTGGGCTCTGTCTTACGAATTCGTTCGGCATGTTCCAAGCCTTGTCCTTTCTGACAGCTGCTACTACGGTAACACCTCAAATCATTTTACCTCTAGTCGCCCAGCTCGCCCCAGCTACGCGCCGTGCAACTATGATCGCAGTTGTCTCCGGCGGGTTGTTTACGGGCATGCTCCTTGCACGCATTATTGCCGGGATCGTCACGGAATATGAAAATTGGAGAATCGTATACTGGATCGCGTTCGGCCTGCAGTATCTGATCTTCTTCGCCCTTCTTTTGTTTCTGCCCGACTACCCGGCGGTTAATGCCGACATCAGTTACTCCAAAATTCTCTATACAGTCATAACGATACCATTCCGACAGCCATTGCTAGTGCAAGCCAGCATGATAGCGTTCTTTGTCGGTGCAACATTTATCTCATACTGGACGGTGCTTACATTTCTGCTATCGTCGCCTACTTTCAATCTATCGACCCTAGTAATCCGTCTCTTCGCCTTTGTAGGGATGCCGCCATTCCTTATAAATGCCATCCTTTCGCGCCTTATTACAGATCGCTATCATCCGAGCTATAGCGCGATACTAGCTATTATTGTCGGTCTCTTTGGAGTTATTATAGGCACCTTTGTCGGAACCTTCTCACTTGCCGGTCCCCTCATCCAAGGCTTGCTCGTCAACCTAAGTTTAATTTGGTCACAGACAGCCAACCGCGCAAAACTCGCAACCGTGGAACCATCAGCTAGAAATCGTGTCAACACAGTATATACAGTCTGCACATTCTGTGGTATGCTCATGGGTACAGCAGTTGGAAACAACCTCTATACTCGGGGTGGGTGGCATTATAGTGGTGGAGCAAGTATTGCCTTCCTCGGATTTGCATTCATTGTCGCGGTGATTCGTGGACCTCACGAGAAAGGCTGGATAGGCTGGAGAGGCGGCTGGAGCTGTACCGTGGGAACTTACCAAGCGGGAGAGACAGAGATCGA